TCTATTAATATATATGTATATATATGTATATATATATATATATATATATATATATATATATATATATATATATATATATATGAATATATATGTACATATATACTTACACAGAAACATTTATATATATATATATATATATATATATATATATATATATATATATATATATATATATATATATATGTATATATATATGTACATATATATATATATATATATATATATATATATATATATATATATATATATATATACAAGTATATATGTACATATGTATATATATATATATATATATATATATATATATATATATATATATATGCATATATATAAACATATAAACGCACACACACACACACACACACACATTTGTGTTTATACATATATATATATATATATATATATATATATATATATATATATATATATATACATATATATATATATATATACACATATATATATGTATGTATATATATATATATATATATATATATATATATATATATATATATATATATATCAGAGATATGTGTGTGTGTGTGTTTGTATATTTATGTGACTATGGATATATATGCATATTTGTATGCATGTATATGATATATATATATATATATATATATATATATATTGTCGTCGTCGCTGCACCTCGGGTTCGAGGATTGCAGTGTCGAGCTTCTCACTGACTCTCCGCCCTCGCGTGGACCCTGCTGTGGCTCAGGAGGCCAATCCTGGACCTGCATTCGCGGCCACAGTCAGGACACACGAGGGTTGGCCTGCTAGGTGGTAGTTGAGCCATCGTTTTAGCCCTTGTTCTCTGGGCTTTCCGCCACGTGCCCGACCCAGCGTAGCTGAGACGAGCGGATCCGTGCCTCAACACTTGGTAGACCTGCGCGGGCGAGAACTTCAGCATTCGTGATGTGATCCTTCCAACTGATGCCCAGGAGCGATCGGAGCTTCCTCTGATGGAACACTTCAAGCCGCTTCAGATGTTTTGCGTAGCAGGTCCAGGCCTCACATCCATACAGAAGTGTCGACAGAACCATGGCCTGGTACACCTTGACTTTGGTTGATCTTCTGATTCCGGCTGCACTCCACACCCGTCTTTGTAGTGCACCGAAGGCAGCGCTAGCTTTAGCAATACGACAGTCGATCTCGGCGTCCACAGTACCGTCGCTGCTGATGCAGCTGCCCAAGTATGCGAATTTGTCGACCACTTGTAACAGTTTACTGTCGATTGTGATTTTCGGCGGGGCGTTAGGGCCACCCGGTGCAGGCTGGAACAGGACCACCGTCTTCTTAACGCTAATCTTGAGGCCGAAGCGCTGACAGGCCATGTGTAGTCGGTCCAGACTCTGCTGAAGATCGGCTTCGCTATGCGCGACCAATGCCATCAGCATACAGCAGGTCCAGTATCATCTGCAGTGTGACCTTTATTTTGGCCTTCAAGTGTTGTGTGTTGAACAAGCCACCGGATGTACGGTGGCGGATGGTAGCCCCGCAGCTCAGATCACGGGTAGCCTCTGCGACCATCGCACCGAGAAACAGACCGAATAGAGACAGTGCAATAACACAGCCTTGTTTGACTCCATGGGAGACAGAGAACGGCTCAGATGTGTCCGTACCACTAATTACCGGTGCTTCCATGCCGTCGTGCAGTTGACGTACTAGTTTGATGAAACCAGGTGGGCAGCCGTACTTGCGTAGGAGCAACCATAAGCTCTCTCTTGAGACCGTGTCGAACGCTTCTGTCAGGTCGACGAACAGCTCATAGAACGGTTGTTGTTTCTCTCGGCATTTCTCCTGTATCTGCCGCGCCGCGAATATCATGTCTACCGTCCCGCGATTTGCTCTGAAGCCACACTGCGTTTCGGACAAGATCTTCTCCGCAACGTGGGGGATCAGCCGATTGAGCAAGATTCTGGCGAGGATTTTACCAGCAATTGACAGCAGACTGATACCGCGGTAGTTGCCGCAGACAGACTTGTCCCCTTTGTGCTTGTAGAGGGTTATGATGTCGCTGTCCCTCCAGTCCTTTGGGACGGTTTTTGTGTCCCACACGATCCGCAACATTTGGGTGAGGTCTTGACGTAGGTTACTGCTCGCGCAATACAGTTCCGCTGGTATACCATCGGGTCCAGCAGCTTTTTCATTCTGCAGCGCTTTGATGGCCTTGTCTATTTCGCAATCGGTTGGCATATCGTCCATTTCGCTGATTATTGGGAGCTGGGGGATGTTTTCGATGGCCGATGACTCCACGGAAGATTTCTGGTTCAGCAGCTGTTGAAAGTGTTCCTTCCATCGCGCAGTGCGGTCTTCGTTGGAGGTCAGCAGGGTGCCGTCCAGGGCGTGGAGGGGCACAACTTGCGAGGACCTGGGTCCGTATATGGTCTTCATCGAACTGAAAAAAGACCGGGTGTCGTGCCTGTCGGCACATCCCTGGATCTGGCGCGCCTGTTGGTCCCACCAGCAGTCCTTAATCTTGCGTAGCTTCCGCTGG